TGGAGATAGGAGTCTCACGGTCTCTCCTGCCCCGGCTGGCTTTGAACCGCGATCCTCAGATCTCAGCCTCCTGAGTAGCTAGGATTACAGGCATGAGCCACCAGCGCCCGGCTTAGAGATAAGTTTTATGGACCTTTCCTGCCCCGGCTGGCTTCAAGCTGATGGCTTCAAACATTGATCCTCAGATCTCAGCCTCCTGAGTAGCTAGGATGACAGGCGTGAGCCCCAATGCTGTCTTTAGAGCATTCTTTTTTGCCAGTCGTGGAGCCTGAACTCTAGGCCTAGGCGCTGTCCCTCAGCTCTTCAGCTCAAGGCTACTTGAGCCACAGAGCCATTTCGGGCTTTTTCTGCTTATGTGGTGCTGAGGAATCGAACCCAGGGCTTCATGTATGCACGCAAGCACTCTACCACTGAGCCACTTTTCCAGCCCCTCTTTACAGCATTCTTCTTGGTATCATGTCTCACTTAGCACCCGCCTGCCTAATCCCCAGAACTGTTTGTCCCATGAGGTCAACACCACAGTGTCCCCCTCACTTCTGGGGCTGGGGAGGGGGGTGGGTGTCACTGAAGGCCTGTGCAGTCACTGAATACAGTTTCCCAGGCCTGGGGTGTGGCTGGGCAGCAAAGCGCCTGCCTGGGTGGGCGGGGCTCTGGCTTTCAGCCCCAGCCCCAGAAGAAAAACAAAACAAGGGTGACCCTGGAGATAAACCTCCTTGTGCCTTGAGTCCTGTCCCCAAAACATGTCACAGCTAAGGGGTGTGTGTGTGTGTGTGTGTGTGTGTGTGTGTTAGTGCTGGGACTCCAACTCAGGGCCTCAGTACTGACCCTTAGCTTTTTTTTTGGGGGGGGGTCGGTCATGGGGCTTGAACTCTGGGCCTGGGCGCTGTCCCTCAGCTCTTCAGCTCAAGGCGAGCGCTCTACTGCTTGAGCCACAGCACACTTCCGGTTTTCTAGTTTAGTCTCACGGACTTTCCTGCCTGGGCTGGCTTTGAACCGTGATCCTCAGATCTCAGCCTCCTGAGTAGCTAGGATGACAGGTGTGAGCCACCGGCGCCCGGCTTTGCCTTCATGTTCTTATTTTGCAGATAAGGAAACTGAGTCTGGGAGCATGATGCTATGTGTTCAAGATTTCACAGGCCTAAAACAGGACCAGAAGTGAAGTCAGTCCCTCCGTCTGGCTGCCAGCGCCCCCTACGCCCCTAGCCTTCTCCTGGGAGCGGTGGGAGGGGAGGAGAGCCCTTGCTGTCCCTCTTAGCCCTGGGGGTGGGAGAAGGCTGTGAACTCCTTTTGTTTTTGTAGTCAGTAGTGGGGCTTGAACTCAGGGCCTGGGCGCTGTCCCTGAGCCTCTTTTGCTCAAGGTGAGCGCTCTACCACTTGAGCCACAGTGCCACTTCCAGTTTCTGGTTGATTGGAGATAAGAGGCTCCCTGACTTTCTTGCTGGGGCTGGCTTTAAACCAGGATCCTCAGATCTCCGCCTCCTGAGTGGCTGGGATTACAGGCATGAGGCACCGTGCCCGGCTTGGGCTGCACACTCTTACCTACAGACCGGCACTTGAAGCTGGCTGGCTCCAGATGCTGGAGCTGCGTGCGGGCCAGGGCGGCGGGGCCGGCGCAGGCCCCGGTGCCCACGCTGGCGTTCACCGTGGCCATCCACTGCAGGATCCACAGCACGCGGCAGTCACACTGGAAAGGGTTTCCCCGCAGATCCCTGGGACCAAAAGCCACGGAGGGAAAGGGGCTGGGACCCAGCTGCCCCACCTGGGTGGGAGCGGTGGATGGGGGTGAGCGGGGAGGGCCCCCCACCTCCCCATCCTCACACATGGGTCAGGGTGTCCAGGCCTCGGAAGAGGAATCGAGGCAGGGCCTCCAGGCGGTTGTTGGCCAGGCTCCTTGGGGAAGGAGAGGAAGAGAAGGGAACCCCATCAGCTCTCTTGGGGACAGGGGACAGGGGCATGGGGGGAGGGGGCGGTACGGGGTGTGGTCAGGGAGGGCGAGGGGGGGCACGCACAGGTGAGTGAGTGAGCGAAGACCTCTGAGAGCATTTTTGGAGATGGAGCCGATCTCGTTGTCCTCAATGAAGCTGGAGGCGGGGGAGGCAGGGTGAGGGGGTGCCCCAGGGTTGGGAGACCATGGGAAGTGTTACCTTTGGGCCCCTCACTTCAGTGATGGCAGAGAAACCTGAAAAACCCTGTGTGTGTGTGTGTGTGTGTTTGTGTGTAGGAGGGGGTATTGGGACTTGAACTCAGAGCCTGGGTGGTGCTGTCTCTAGGCTCTGTGGCTCAAGGCTGGTGCTCTCCCACTTGAGCCACCCCTCCACTTCCGGTTTTCTGCTGGTTCACTGGTGAGAAAAGTGTCCTGGACTTTCCTCCCCGGGCTGGCTTTTGAACCCCGATCCTCAGATCTCAGCCTCCTGAGTAGCTAGGATTACAGGCGTGAGCCACCAGCGCCCGGCTAGTTCCACCATTTTTATCACCATCATCAGCTCCTGCTGCTACTCTGGTTGCTGCAGGTGCGCCAGGCATCTCCTCCCAAGCCCACCTGTGCCCCGCCCCGGCCCTGACTCACAGGTACTGCAAATAGGCCAGGCCGGCAAATGCATCGTCTTCAATCACAGAGAAGGAGTTGGATGTGAAGAGTCTGAGAAAGGAGCGAGATGGAAATTTTCCTCCCTCCCTCCCTCCCTCCCTCCCTTCTTGCTTCCTTTGCCAGTGCTGGGGTTTGAACTCAGGGCCTGAGCATTGTGGTTGCCCCGCCCCCACCCCCCACGGGTGCTCAAGGCTGGTGCTCTACCACTTGAGCCACGGCTCCACATCTGGCTTTTTGTTATTCCATCGGAAATAGTCTCACACAGATTTTTTTTTTTTCTCCCCTGGCTGGCTCTGAACCATGATCCTCAGATCTCAGCCTCCTTAGTAGCTGGGATTACAGGTGTGAGCTACTAGCACGGGGCTCAGACCCCCTTCTGACTCTGGAACTTTGGTCTTCACTCTCAGCCCATGGGCCCCCACATGGCTCTTGGTGGGTGTACGTGGACAGAGGTGGCTCCCACATGCGCATGTACACACTCCATGGGACTAACACCCTCGTGCATGCACACACGCACACACGGGCAGGAATTCCTGCAGCCCAGGGCCCAGGCCTCACTCACAGCAGGTGCAGAGTTGGCATCTTGAGGAAGCTTCCGGCCTTCAGCTGGGGCACCCCCAGTCTCACAAGTGAGCTGGAGACACGGTGGGGGGGGCGTCAGGAGAAAGCCATCTCAAGGTTCTATCCCAAACCCAACCTCCCCACCCCGCCCCGCCCTGCTGGGGAGCTCCGTGCTTCTCCCCCCTACTTGCCCTCGTAGTTTTCAAGGACCCCAACAGTACTCACCTTGCACCCCCTGATTGCTCACTCCCTGAGCCCCCACATCTCCCCAGTACTGCCTTCTGAACCCTCTTAGCTCTCTCCCGAACATCCCAAGATCCTTTGCTCTCCAAGTTCCTGCTGGGGAGAGGGATCCTGCCCCCCCCCGCTTTCTGCCTCCACCCTTGGGGGGTCTCCCATTCCCCCCCCACTCCCCCAGCCCCATGAGGACCATACACTCACAGTGACAGAAGTGTTGGGGTGAAGCTCTCGGGCAGCTCTGGGGAACCCTCACACAGGGCGCTGTCTTTGGAGCAGGAGCAGCGAGGGGGGCATTTCCCTTTTGGGGGTCTCCAAGCCACCCCTACCCCTGCCCCAGCCAGCAGCAACAGCAGCAGCACCACCCCGCCCATCCCCCTGCCCTTCCCCTCCAGCCCCCCACTAAAGCCCCTGCAGCCTCCACCCGGCCGGCTCCCCCCTGCACACTCTACATGATGCCAGCCGGCGCCCCGCAGCCCGGAGGGGGCGAGCGCCTTGCTCTCGGCCTGCCCCGCGGCCCTGCGATGCGATCTCGGCCGTCTGACTTGCTATGGGGTCTCTTTTCGCTTCCTGACTTGAATCTCCAGTGTGGATCTCCAGGCCTCGGTGTGTCTGTCCGTCTGTCCGGGGCTCAAGCTCTTTGGGTGTGTGTGTCCGTGTGTCCCTCTGCATCGCCGGCCTCCCTGCCGCCGCCCGCGCCCCTGCTCCCCGATGGCCTCAGATGAGTTCAGCCAGGGAGAGTTAGAGGATGAGGAGGGGGAGGGGCAGGGGAGGGGGAGAGGGGGGAGGGGGTCAGAGGCTCTCAGAAGCACAGCCTGGGGACCTGGGGAAGGGACCCGTGTTCTCTGGGGGGAGGTAGGGGGGGTCATCAGCCCGCTCCCAGCTAACCCCCATCCCAGATGCTCCCATCAGTCCGTCCAGGCGGTGGTCCCCAGGGCGGGGATCAGGTGGCTGTACAGATGGGAGATGGGGTGGGGGACACTGGCCACGCCCAGCCGGGGCCCCTTCTCTTGGAGGGTGTGGTGGGCGCTGTCACAGGGCATAGAAGGGCCAGCGCAGGTCCAACTGTGCCCTCTGGTGGCCATACTGGGCAGGGCCATTGCCCTGCCTGTCCCCCCTCCTTTCCCCTCCTCTGTAATTAACCCTTAGAACCCCACAGCTCACTCAGCCCAAGGTCCTGCCAACTGGCACGCCATCTCCCTTGCTGCTCTTAACTCAGCCCCAAGCTCTGCGCTAAAACTTCCTCTTATAGCTGGGCATCAGTGCTCATGTCCCTCGTCCCAGCTATTCAAGATGCTGAGATCGGAGGATCATGGTTCAAAGCCAGCCTGGGCAAGAAAGGCCGTGAGACTCTTACCTCTAATGAACCGCCAAAACAAAACCCAAACAAACTAAAAGAGTGGTTCAAGTGGTAGAGTAAAAATAGCTCAGGGCTAGTGCTCAGGCCCTGAGGATTGGGGGAAAAAAAGGCGGGGGAGGGCGGGAGGGAGGATTTTGTATCTGTTTCCAGGGAGAGAAACTGAGGAAGAGGATGAACAGCCAGAGGCAGAGCCTGAGTGTGTGTATGTGTGTGTGTATACCCGTGCACACGGGTACACACACACCAGTACTGGGACTTGAACTCAGGCCTGGGCTATCCCTTAGCTGGCACTCTACTACTTGAACCACACCTCCACTTCCAGCTTCTTGTTGGTTCATTGGAGATAAGAGTCTCACAGCCTTTCCTGCCCCAGCTGGCTTTGAACCAGATCCTTAGATCTCAACCTCCTGAGCAACGGAGACTTAGAGAGTTATTTACCCAGCATCACCCAGCTAGGGACTTCCTAGCTACTCCACCAGGGGGCAGTCAAGGATCCGGAGTGAGCCGGGGAAGGGAAGGAAGCTGGATCAGCTAGGAGCTGGCCAGGTGCCCCCCCCCCCACCTCCTGTTGGCGCCCTACCTTCTCTGTCCCCACCTTTGAGCTGCGTAAACATTAGGGTTATTATTAACCAGAAATGGCTGGTGACCCTGGGGTGCAGGGCCACCCAGGCCAGAGGCTGCGGGGGCTCAGAAAGCCAGGCATGGAGGAGCCTCAGCGCCACTGGCGGTCTCTGGGGCCAGGTGCATGTGGGTACAAGACTGGGCCACATGTGTCCTAGGTGTGAATCCAGGCTCCTGAGAGTGGTGTCTGACACTTAAAGCTGGGGAGCATTTCTGTCCTTAATCACCAAGGGAGAACCTCAGGAAAACCAGCTGCCCTTGGCTAGATGTCTGTTTTCTCTTCTTGAAAACAGTCTTGAGGCCTGGTATAGTGGCTCACACCTGTAATCCTAGCTATTCAGGAGGCTGAGATCATGCTTTTTACCCCTGCTATTGCTTGAGCCACACCTCCACTTTCAGCTTTATCATTACTGTTATTATTATTGTTATTATTTGGTGGTTCACTGGGGATAAGAGTCTCATAGACTTTCCTGCCTAGGCTGGCTTTGAACCACAATCCTTAGGACCCAACTTGATTTCTCTCTTTTTTTTTTCTTTTTCTTTTTTCTCCTGGGGCTTGAACTCAGGGCCTGGGCACTGTCCCTGAGCTTCTTTTGCTCAAGGCTAGCACTCTACCACTTGAGCCACAGCGACACTTCTGGTTTTTTCTGTGCATGTGGTACTGAGGGATCGAACCCAGGGCTTCATGTATGTTAGGCAAGCACTCTACCACTGAGTCACCTTCCCAGCCTCTGATTTCTCCATTTTATAGCTCAGGAAATCCTGGGAGGGAGGTGACAAGGGTTGCCCAATGTCACAGAACCAGGAGGCAGAGTTTAGGCCTGACCCCAGCTTCCGTCACCAAGGCCTGTGAACTCAGATTATGTCTGGCTCCCTTCCCACCCCCCCATATACATGTAATCAGGACCACATGAGCTCATGGAAGGGAAAGTTCAAGGTTAAACATGTTGGTTGGTGGTTTGCACTGTACGAACATACTGTACCTGTCTGTGTGGCCAGCCATGTCCATGTGGTGTGTGTGTGTGTGTGCACGTGCATGCACGCTAGTCCCTGGTGAACCTCACAGCCAGCAGGAGACAGCACACACACACACACACACACACACACACACACACACACACACACACTGAAAGACCTCCAAAAGAAACCAACAACCCTGGGACTCTGACAAGGGCTGCACAGAATATTGTGGTCAGCCAGGCCCTGGTAGCTCACGCCTGTAATCCCAGCTACTGGAGAGGCTGAGATCTGAGAATTGAAGTTCCAAGCCAGCCCAGGCAGAAAAGTCCCTGAGAGTATGATCTCCAAAGAAATAGCAAAAGGTTGGAAGTAGAGCGGTGACTCAAGTGATAGAGTACTAGCCTTGAACAGGGGGGGAAAAATCAGGGCCATCACCTAGGCTCTGAGTTCAAGTCCCCAAACCAGGACCAAGAAAAAACAAACACCCCCCAAACCCCAAACTAAAACCAAAAAAGAACACTGTGATCCAAAGTCGCTGGGCTTGTTCACCCTGAGCCCGCCTGACCTTCTGCCCTGGTGTTGCACACGCTCCGTGCTGGGGCAGGCCCCATAGGTAAGATTGAGTCCCCCATCCGTTGTGCATGCCCTGGGGCGCGGCCTGTAGATGCAGTCTGAGCTGAGAGAGTTAACTGAGTGGACCGGGGCGGTCTGGGCTGGGGGCCGCCCCCTGGCCCCCCTCCAGCCCGGGCTCCAATTACAGCTGCTGGTTGGGGAGGGGAAGGGTGGGGCCAAGAGGGGAGCCTGCTAGGGGTGCCCGGCTCCAGCCCTGGACCAGGGGGTCTGAAGTGTCAGCCCCTGGGTCACAGCCCGGACATTTGGGGGGACCTTCTTTCAGCAGGAGACAGTGAGATTGGGGTAAGTGTCCTCCCCCCACACTCCCCATAGGCCCTCTCCCCTGGGCCTGGGCGGCCTATTTTTGGGAACAGGAGGGGCCAATCCTGGCTCCCAGCAGGCCTGACCCATGGCTGGGAGGAGAAAACAGAAACAGTAGGGGTGCTGCGGGGTAGGAACGAGGGTGACTCCCTGCTGTTAGGGTGTAGGTGCACACAGATCTTCTTGTCACACGGAGACACCCCCAATCCCTCCAGCCAGCAGTGGGAGGGAGGGGGGGCCGTGGCTGCGGTCTGGCTCTGCCCCTGTGCGCATGCGCGGCCACGCCCTGCACATCTGTCTTCTGTCTCTGGCTGGTGTTGACTGCTTAGGGGCACCCAGAGGTGGCCCCATGGGCTGGTTCCCCCCTCCCTCGCTTTCCTAACAGAATCAGGGGTGGCTCAGCAGCCTGTGACCCACCAGGCTTTACTTATCTATGTGTGACCCCCCCAAACCATACAAGTGGGGGGAAGAGGGAAAGGCTGTGGCCCGGTGGCCTGTGCGAATTCCTCAGGGGTGAAGTGGGAGATATTTATACCCGGGGTCAGGCAGAGAGCGGGCGGGCAGCCCAGAGCTAGAGTGCTGGGACTACAGGAGACACAGCGGAGCCCTGGTGTGGAGGGACTCGTGGGACCAGGGCCCAGTGTGGTCTGTTCTGGCTGGCTGTCACCTGGAATTCTGACCCCCTGCTAGGGTAGGTGTGTGTGTGGGGGGGAATCTGGAGGTGGAGGCCTGAGGAGCAGGGAGGCCTCTGCGTGTCCATCTCTCTACAACTGTGTGAGTTGTTTTGGTGACACAGCCCCATGAGACCAGCGGTGCCCCTGTTTCTTGGGCAACTAGGCTGAATGACTGACAATTGTGATTAAGCCCTGGCTTGTGTAGGATTTAACCCCTTTGGATTTGGGCGTCATTATAGGGGCAAGCCAACTTTCCCCTTATTTATTTATTTATTCGTCAGTCATGGAGCTTGAACTCAAGGCCTGGACATTGTCTGTGTGCTCTTATTCTCAAGGCTAGTGCTTTACCATTTTGAGCCATAGTGCCACTTCTGATTTTCTGGTGGTTCATTGGAATTAAGAGTCTCATATTGCCGGGCGATGGTGGCTCACGCCTGTAATCCTAGCTAGTCAGGAGGCTGTGATCTGAGGACGGTGGTTCAAAGCCAGCCCAGGCAGGAAAGTCTGAGACTCTTAACCTCCAATAAACCACCAGAAAACCGGAAGTGGCACTGTGGCTGGCTCAAGTGGTAGAGTGCTTGTCTTGAGCTGAAGAGCTGAGGGACAGTGCCCAGGCCCAGAGTTCAAGCCCCGTGACCCCTCCCTCCCTCACCCCCCACAGTCTCATATCTTTTCCTGCCCAGGCTGGCTTTGAGCCTCGATCCTCCAGCTCGCAGCCTCCTGAGTAGCCAGGATTGCAGGCGTGGGCCACTGGTGCCAGCCTTTCGCTTACTCTTATTGTCTCCTCAGGACAATGGCACCTGTCAGCCACACCTTGGTTTTCTGTGTGGGCCTCCTAGCCATGGCCAAGGCAGGTGAGTTGGAGAAGAAAGGAAATGGAGTGACAGGAAATGGGAGTCCCCGGGCTGGCATTTGGAGGAGGAGAAGATCCTGTGGGCCAGCTGGAGGTGGGAGTGGATGGTGGCTGTCTTTGGGGACCGATGACACACTGGAAGATATGAGGCTGGGGTGGGCTGGTGGGGCCCCCACCCCACCTCAAGTCAGGGATGGACAGGGCAGCTAGGACCCAGGGCAGGTAGGGCTGTCAGCTGAGGGCCCCACAGTTCCCAAAATGCCAGCCCCGGAAGACCAGCAGCCCCAAAGGGTCTTTCCCAGCTCCTGCTCCTAGTCGGGGCAGCAGCCAAACTCTGGGCTCTCTGGCTCTCTCTTTTTTTCCCAGAAGCTTCACCGGAACACGACCCATTCACTTATGGTAAGGGGAGCTTCTATTTTGGGGAGGCCTTGGGTTTTGTTATCCCTCTGTCTCTGTCTGTCTGTCTGTCTCTGTTTCTGTCTGTCTGTCTCTCTCCCCTTTTGACTCAAGCTCTCACAGTACCCGATGGCCCATCTGCTGTCCCCTGCTCCCCCTCGCCCTGCTCCTCCCCTCCAGCCTCCCCCCCCTGCCTCCCCCTCTCCTCCTCTGTCTGCTCTCTAACTGATCTCCTTTCCCCCCTCCTCCCCCATCCACAGATTACAAATCCCTGAGGATCGGAGGCCTTACCATTGCCGGGGTCCTCTTCATCCTGGGCATCCTCATCATCCTCAGTGAGTGTCTGCACCCACCTGGGCCCCACCCATCCCGACCCGTTCCCACCCATCATGGACTGGTTCCCGATCCCGCCCATAGCCCGCCAGGGCCACGCCCACCATCTACCTTGCCCCTCCCCCCGCTTTCCCGCGTGGACAGTCATGACTCCGCCCCAGCCCCGCCCTCAAAACGAACGTGGCCGTCAGGCCACGCCCCCAAACAGTCCGCACTTCCACCCACCCCTCTACCTCCAACCCCGTCCTGGCTCCGCCTTACTTCTAAACCCGCCCCCTCCCCGTTCGGCTCCGCCTTCAGCTTGTTGTCGACCACGCCCTCTTTGGACCACCACGCCCACCTTCGGCCCCGCCCCACCGTCACCCTACCCATGTCCCCGCCCCTTTCAAGGCCCGCCCCCGCCAGGTGCCCGCCTCCAGCCTCGCATTGGCCTCACCCACTGCCACCCCGCCCACCTCC